CAGGAATGTATGGAAATCCAGTGCCGATAACCACTTACCCTTTGCCAGATCCTGTTGCTACTACTGCTTATCATGTTCTTCTTATTGATTTAATATTATTTAATTAATGATGCTAATAACATTCTCCTGTTTTTTAGCTGAGGACGAAAGCCCAAGGGGTATACGTGCGTGTGTGGGCTGTCCACATGCATGTGCGTGTACCTGTGCCACACAGCATCCTTACACCCACCTCCCTGTATCCTCGATAGGGTTTCAGGTGGTTTTGCAAGGAGATCTGAAGTACTGTCAGATAACGCATTTTAAATATTAAGGAAGGAATGTGCTTTTCTGTGCAGGGTCCACAATGTGTGTCTCTCCCTCCATAATGCTTGTGGCCTGAATCTGTGGACTTGCTCTTTCTAAGAAAGGGATCCTTTCTGGAGAAATCACTAATTAGGACCATATCACAGGAGAAGCTATTAAAGATTATAGACACACTGTTAGCATTTTGTGGTGGTTTCCTTATAGGATTTCCGTGTCTCAGTCACTTCATCGAAGTACCTCCTTTATAACCCCTTTAATCTGCTCAAGTGGAGAACCATTTTGAATACACATCACAAAGCTCTAGAATTAGCCACAATCCCTCTGGAATCTGTAGATTTCCAATACTGACTGAGTTTGAAATAGAATTCTGAGTGCCTTTCAAGTGTAATTGGTTCAGTAATTGGCCCTCACTAGTTTGATCTGTTGTGAACCCTGTTCTGTAGAATCCCCTCCGGCAGATTTCAGGGTGTCCCATCCTCCTGCAGCACTGAAAGATCTTTCTTTCAAGACTTCCGGTATTACCTTTACTTGGTAGAGTATAAGTGAAACCATGTTTTAGGATAACGTCCTCAGGGCTCCCCTGGTGGCACAGTGGTTAAGAATCTGCCTGCCAGTTCAGGGGACACGGGTTCGAGCCCTGGTCCAGGAAGACCCCACATGCCACGGAGCAACTAAGCCCGTGCACCACAACTACTGAGCCTGTGCTCTAGAGCCTGTGAGTCATGACTACTGACTCGGCGTGCCACAACTACTGAAGCCCGTGCGCCTAGAGCCTGTGCTCTGCAACAAGAGAAGCCACTGCAATTAGAGGCCTGCATGCTGCAATGAGGAGTGGCACCTGCTCGCAGCAACTAGAGAAAGCCCAATGCAGCAATGAAGACCCAACACAGCCAAAAATCAATAAATAAATTTATTAAAAAAAAAATAACATCTTTGTTATTCACAGTAAATAGTCAATATTTGTTGTTCTTTGTCAATGTGAAGGTTACAGAGTCCAGAAATTTAATGTAATTTGGACATTAGTTGCCTATCACTCCTTTATGGACAACTGTCACAATAATGACCTGACCAAATTCATGTGTTTTTAAAATCCAGATCTAACCAGGTCACTAATCATTGGCTGAAAGATAGGTCCACGGTTCTTAGCCAGGCCCCTCCAGTCCGGCGCCTCATGCCCAGGGATGCTGCATGGGGTGCCCCCTCTGCCCTCACCACTGAGATTGGCGTCTGGTCCCCTGCCTGGGCTGGTCCTTTGCCAGGACTGACTGCCCTACCTCCAGGACCCTCCTCGTGCCCCTCCCATCTCCCAGGCCAGGCTTGACGTCCTCCCCGTGTTTCCAGTACAGCCTGTTTTCTCCATCAGGGCCGTCTGTGTTTTACTTTGTTGTTGTTGTTGTTTTTCTTTTTTAAAAATTTTTATTGGAGTGTAGTTGATTTACAATGTTTTGTTAGTTTCAGGTGTACAGCAAAGTGAATCAGTTTTACATATACATGTATCCACTCTTTTTTAGATTTTTTTTCCCATATAGGTCATTACGGAGTACCGAGTAGAGTTCCCTGTGCTCTACAGTAGGTCCTTATTAGTTATCTATTTTATATATAGTAATGTGTATATGTCAGTCCCAATCTCCCAATTTATCCCACTCCCCCTTACCCCCCAGTAATCATAAATTTGTTTTCTACATCTGTGACTTAATTTCAGTTTTGTAGATAGGTTCATCTGTAGTCTCTTTTTAGATTGCACGTATAAGCAATATCATATGGTATTTGTCTCTGTCTGACTTACTTCACTCAGTATGAGAATCTCCGGGTCCATCCATGTTGCTGCAAATGGCATTATTTCAAAACAGTGTCATTTGTGCCAGTGTTTTACAGTGTTTGTCTGTTACTCTCCTCTGCTTGACTCTGCGTTCCTTCACGCAGGAACTGTTTTACACTGTCGTAGTCAAATCATGGAAAGAATAGGAAGACCTTGCCCTCTGCATCTACACAGATGCTTCCTGTGTCCCCTCCCAAGCGGCGTGTCCACCACCTGCCCGGTGCCCTTCCCTGCCCGGCACCTGTCCCCGTCCTGCAGTCCTGCTGCCGCCGGTGTTGTCTGCTCAGATCTGGGTCTCCATCGGAACCTGAGCTCCGGCCACACCCGAGTTAGGTTGAGTGGGCTTTGGGGGGGGTTCCTATTTGTTCTCTCTCTGGTCTGGAGCTGGACTCTGCTCTCTGTACCCCAGGCCCTGGCTGGGTCTGAGCAGCCACACAGCCCAGGGCAGCGTCTCCCTTCAGATACATCAGCTGCACCGAATCCTTGCAAAGTCCTGCTACACCAGCACCCTTCAGGATCCTTCCTTTGTAACACAGATGCCATTTTTCATGATCGGCAGTTGGAAGACGGCCAAGTGGCCCAATTCTCAGTGCAGGGGGATGAGCTGCATGTGTGTTGCTGAGAGGAGGCTGACAAGCAGTGACCTTGCTCAGTGCCCCCCATCCACCAGAGCCACTTGAGATGTAACCAGTAGGCATCTGCACTGGAACCCTGGGGGCAGACGCCCTCTGGGGACAAGACCAGGGAGCAGGTGTAAAGCTTCCCAGGTGATGCTAATGAGGAGAGAATTAACTGATGCGTCTCAGAAACAGGGAGGGGTTAAATGGCACCACGTCCTGGTACAGGGAGAGACAACTTCTGGACAGCCAGTCCAGGCTGAAGGGCCAGGGACGCACCCTCACCTGGGAAAGGGGGGACAACGGTCAGGAAGAAAAGTGTACAATTCAGTGGATCGTCATAAACTGAGCACACCTGTGTTCCCTTCTCCCAGACAGGAGCAAGAGCAGCTCAGAAGCCCTCCACAGTCCCCTGTGGGTCAATCCCCACTCTGTAGATAAGCGCTGCTAGTTTTATCACCACTGATTCCTTTCTCATGCTTTTGAATATTATGTAAATTATATCATATAACACACACTCCTGAGTAGCTATGTTTTCTCATCATCTATGTTGGGTCTTGAAAAATTATATGTTTGTCCAATGGTGATTTCAGGTATGGAAAAAATAATACAGGGAAAGGAACTAGGGCCACTGGGATCTGGCCGTGGATATTTTATTTTATTTTTAATACCTTTTTATTTTAAAATAGTTTAAAGCTCACAAGAAATAGCAAGATTAGTACAGAGAGAGCCTATGTGCCCTCCCAGTGATACTGTGATAATGTAATAATACAGTACATCACAATGTTACATCGATAAAACCAGGAAATTGATGTTGGTACAATACTATCTCATTGTCTGTACTCATTTAGTTATTAAAATATTGGCATAGTACAGTTTGCAGAAATTGAGATTTACTTGAAAGCTAAAATGCACCAGAAAGAAAATCATAAGGAAGATCGGAAAGTGAGCTAGCTCAGATTTTGAGTCAACAAATCAGAGGTGAAAATTCACCTTATGTTCATCTGACAGGTGTCTGCTGAGTGCTTGCTGTGCAACCTTCTACACCACCCAGCACGTGCTATGGAGCTGTAGTGTTTGGGGACCTTTGTGGGTAATCTACTTTATTAAGGAGCCTGTTTGCTAAAAGTGGTCAAAGTTGATTTCTTATAACTTTGCGATAAATTACTTGTCCTCTAGCACAAAAGTCTGGCATGACTTTATTGCTCGTAAAATTGAAAAGTAGTTTGAGTTTGGCGTCCATCCACATCACTGTCTTTTAGGCAGATGTACATTTCCTTTGTGTTAGAGGATGAATGTTGACCCCTGATAGTAACCGGCCAACAGGATGCAGAACTTGGGTGCGTGGGCCAGACCTGGTACCACAGACTCTGGGGACCACGTCTTCTGTTCAGATGACCTCTGACATTTCTCTCCCTCTAGATTCTTCCGGTCCATTTCCCAGGTGTGAATTAACTCTGACTTACCCTCCCAGGGGTCACTCTGCCATTCGAGGCACAGTGACATCTTCCAAGGGCGTACATGTTGAAAAAGAGCAAGTGAGGCTGTTGGAAGGCGGAACTAGTGGGGACATTCTCGTGTTGTACAACCTTAGTAAGAGTTACAGAGGCTTCTTCAGGAGGGCCTACTCAGGGGAGAGGTAAGAAGGCTTCTGTTTGTACCCTTGCAAACCACCGTCACTCTAATTGTCCATCTGTTCGTGTTATTCTCAGGATATCTGAAATGGAAACTAAGAGCAGCTTCACATTTAAGGAATCTCTGCAGGGTCTAGGTGGAGAGTCAGTCGACTCTCTCCCTAGTGAAAACTCTGCTGATTGAGTGACGGGTTTTTTTCTGTTTCATAATTTTTAAAATGTAAGTGATCAGGGAGTTTTAATTAGTTTGGCTTATGGGGTGATTCGATTGAGTGCAAATATTTTATAAATCCAATTAATTAAGGAAACCACTTCTAACTCCTGCTTGGACTTCAGTACTCTTTAAGTGGCCAGTTAAGCCCGTCTAGTAATATGCTATTCTGGAAAGGTAGAAACACACACTACAGCCATAGCTCAGAGTTGTTTTTTCATGAATGTGTATGTCATTAATTCTGGTAGAAATGTTTAATCTGAACTGACAGAAGCCATACAAATTGTTCCCAACATGTGTTTAATGCATAAAGGGAAATCAGTTCTGGAAACGATTACCTTTAATTAACTGTTAAAAAGAAAAAGAGTATCTCGCATTCACATTGTACCAAGCTTCTGAGAAATTCAAAGTATGTTATATCGTTATCTGATTGGTATCCATGCTCTATTTGTGAGTGGATCTGAGGTAAAGAGAAGCCAAGAGATGGATCTGAATCCATCCAGGGACCCTTAGACCCTGACCGAGGTGTGTGGTCAAATGGGACAGAAGTTAAAGAAGTAGGTTGTGCAGTTGTTGGCTACTCAACTCTAAGACTAGCTACGTGATTTTTGCCATCTTATGGAAATGTTTTCTTACCCTTGCTTTAAAAAATAAACTTCTGTCTTGCTACTACCTCTCCTTTAGTTTTAAACTAAAGTGTGAGAGAAAAACTTGGAAAAGTTCCTATGAGAGATGCTCCAAGTCTCTGAAATGATCCAAGATGCATTTACCTTTGGGTTCTCTTCACTAGGCTGTTTATGAGCATCTGAGTTTAATGACTTAGATGTGAAGTCCCATGCAAGAGCCTGCAGAAGAGACGGGTGGCTAGGATGTGTCCCCGCCCCTCTAGGAATTAATAATCGGGTAGGAAATGGGAGATCATAAACATACACAGTGTTGCATAACAGCAGGGCAAGGGTCAAAGGCACAGAGTGAATCACCTTGGAGCTGTAAGTCCAGAGAGGGGGTCTCGAAGGAGGAATGGGAGCATTGTGGGAGTGGGGAAGGCAGGGGGTGTGCAGAACTTTATGAAAAAGGACGGTTCAGATAAACTTAAGCCTAAGCCAGGAGGGTAGATAGAGTTCAGATAGGCTGATGGCTTGTACCTGGGATAGCAGCTCAGGTATGGTCTGTGACACGAGTGACATGGGACAGGACAGGTCTGCAGCAGGATGGACCCCTATATCAGAGCGTGGGAGAGACCCAGTCAAGGTGGGGGAAGCATGAGTGTTGAAGCAGGTGGCACCTGGAGCTACAAAATAGGGTTCTGTGATAATCAGGTGGGCTTGGCCAGAAGAAACCAGAACAGTCACTTTTCCAGGATTCAGGGAACCAGGAAGCCAGCTTAGGTCAGAAGACAGCAGTGCCCAGACATCGGGAAACAAGTGTTCTGGAAGGAGATCAGTAAGAATGAAAACCTCTCAGCTTCCACCACAGAATCCCCAGCTAAGGATATCCAGAGGTTCAAGGTAGAGGCTGGGGCCGTGAAAGAGCGAGGCCATTGTTTCCTCCACGGAATGTAAGACAGAGTGAAGCAGGAGATGTGACCTGGTGCTGAGCGAGAGTATGGGAATAGAGGGTCTTCTTGATTAGTGTCAGCGTTAGGCTACAGTCGGAGTGAGAGGAGAGAGCCAGAGAGACAGAGAGATTCAGAGACAGAGACAGAGAGGAAGGCAGGGGAATAATAATGATAATGATGATGTGACTCCTAAAAAATATTGCGCTTACCAGAGGGACATAGTTGGGAGCCTGTTGGATGTGCCCTGGATAGGACATAAAATTTCAGCATAATTTGTGGTAGTTGGCCTTTACTTCTCATCCTCTTGAGTTTTTCAGACATAAATTTGCTTACTCGTTTGTGAATTAACACTGAAATTACACCACTCAAATGCCACGGTGATTTCAGAAGTTCTGCATGAGCTATAAAACGCGTTATACATTTATTTTATGATTGTAAAAGTCTACAAATAACACAAACCAAAAATATCAACTCAGAGTTGGGTGAAAGCAAGTGCTGTTTCCGATATAATTTTGATTTTATGGTTTGTTTGTTTTCTCCTCTTAGTGCTTTGGGCAGGTGAACGGAGCTGGGAAAATCACCACATTCAAAATGCTGACCAGGGACCTGCCTCTGAGCTCAGGACACACCATCCTCAGGACTCCCATGGGGTAAGATTTAATCAGATTTAATTGTTTTGCTGCCTGTAGAGATAATCATCAAGCCCAGAGACGCCCAGCCCCCCCTCAGTCCCATGCACTAAAGTCAGAGGAGATCATTTCCCTCCAATTTACTTTCCAATGACCACTCCTCACAAGGGGGAAAAGAGCCTCCAGATGGGAATGAAATGAACTTGATGTTTCTGGCCAGAGGGTAGAGGAGGTGTTGGCAAAAGCTGCCCAGGGCTGACCCCTTCCAGGGGTGCCGGCTGCTCTGCCCCATGAACCTAGGTGAGCAAGGAGTAGTCAGGGGCTGGTTCTTGCTTTGCCATCTGTTGGGGCTTCAGATGCCCTCCCCCAGTGCAGGGACCAGAAGGGGCATGGTGGTTTCATCGTTTCCCCACCCGGACCTCATCTTTCGGGCAGTACAGCAGTTTTCCAGCTAGTCTTCCAATAGCGTGGCATTCGTGTGTGTCCCAATCCTATCACTGTTCCCAAATCCCATCCTATACCCCGCTCTTCTGATTCTCAGTGCTGTGTGATGACGTCCTGGCCTATATCTTTCTGCTTTTCCTACTATAGTGAATTCATTGTAACTTGATAACAGATTTCAGAAATCTGTCCTTGAACTGACATAAAGAAGAGACATGCCTTTTGCTACATTCTCTGAAGGTCATGATATAAATAGCCACCAAGTTCTCAGTGCTGGACTTGATTTCACAGTCTGTCTACCTGGGATCCTAGAGTTATTCCTAAGTAGACTTGGAAGTAATTTGCTTCAGATTTTTCTTATATAGGTTCAAATACAATAATTGAAAAAAGTTCAAAAATATCATAACTGAAAAAAGTTCAAAAATATCATAATCATCCATTAATTAGTTGATTCTTTGCATCAACAAATAGTTTATTGTCCATCTATGATGTGCCAGGCACCAGGAAGACAGAAATTGTTCCTGTAATCCTAAAATCCAGTGTTAATATTCGTATGTCTCCTACTAGTTTAATTTAAACATGCATAGATATCTGTGTGTATATATCTAATTTTATCTATTATCTGCATGTGTGTGTGTGTGTATGTGAAATGTAGGTGATTAAATATGTAGAGAGATGTGTATTTTAAAATCAGACACGATTATAAAGATCATTGTGTAGACTTCATTTATACTTATTGCATGAACATTTCATAATCCTCTTCAACAATATTTATTAAAAGATTTAATTTTTTAGAAGCCTGGTGGGCATGCCATTTCACTGTTAGATTAATTTGCATTTTCTTGATGACTCATGAACTTGACGGAGCGCTCTCCCCATATTTAGCTGTTGCCTGGGGTTTCTTTCTGCCAGTCACCTGTCATGACCATTGTTCTTTTCTTATAAGGTTGTCTTTTTGTTACTCATTATGTACGAGGTTTTAATATATTCAACTAGTAATTAATCCTTTGTGTGCTTTATATGTTTTAAGTATTAGCTTCAGTGGTACCTTGTATTTTAACTCTGTTTTAAAAGTTTGTGTGTGTAGAGGTTCTCAGTTTTGATAAGACTGATTTATTCTCTTTTTTCCTTTGCTATTTCTTGCTTTTTGAGTCTCAGGAAATTCTCTTTCTAAAGTAATAAAGCTATTCTCCATAGTTTATTTTCAGAGGCTTCTATTCTGTATTCATGTTTCTAATTTATATGGAGTTTATAATTGAATATATGGTGTAATGGAAAAACAATCTGATTTTTTTTTCTGATCCCGAATTCCAGTTTGCCTAAGGCCATTTTTACAGCCATGTGTCTTTTGTCTGTCAGTTGGAAGCATCTTCTGCTCTGTACCAAGTGCTCAGCCAGGCTGGGACTCAGCTTTACCATCTCCTGCTTCAGATGCATCCTGGTGGGTTGCACCACCTATCTGTCTTCCTGGTTTTTCATTTCCAGGATAGTCTGGATTACTTTGGGACCTTTATGAGGTATTATTCTTAGAATCATTTTGGTAACCTGTATAAGAATGTCAAAATATTTGAATCTTGATTGGAATTGAATCAAATTTATTTTATAATTTGAAGAGATTCGCACCTCTATGATATTTTGTCTTCCTTATCCTTAAGTCTCGTAGTTACCCATTTATTCAGGTCATTTAAAAAGCATCAATTCAGTATGTTGCACTTTTCTTTATAGAATCCTTGCATATCTATCTTAGATTTATTCATCCTGATGAATTTGTCTTCATCAGGAGGTAATTCATATCTTAATTGTTTATCTTTTGGGACTTTCTTCTTTGTTTTTTTCATGGCTAGAGATTTTGCTGGTTTACCTCGCGAGTGAGTTTATGTGATTTTACTCTCATTCTCTCACCTTCTGTGTATCAGTTTGCCGCTTTTTCTGTCACCTTCCGTGTATCAGTTTGCTGCTCTTTCAGCTATTTACTCCCTAGATCTCTCGTCCAGGGCCAGGTCGTATGTTGACAGCTTGGGGTTCCCGTCCTGTAGCCGCAGGCAGACGGCCCATGTGAGTCCTTGCATCGCCAGGTCCCGGTCTCACTCTGGGACCTGGCCTGGAAATGAGCAGCCTCCACGTCACCTTCTCAGCCTCCTCCTGGGAGAGGTGGGGCTCTAGACGCAGGTGTCACACACTAAGCTGAGCCCTGGTCCCTTTGCATCCCTATACGAGTGCATTTAGTCCCCGTTACCTCGCAGGGGCCCGATTCCTAGCTGCTGTGTGTAATTCAGGTCAGAATGCAGCGACCAGTGGCTTCAGACCCTGCATCCTGTACTCTTTTGTTTCTGATGCACAGAGATATTTATGTTTAAGTGTGTTTTTCTATTCTACACATTTGTTACACAGCAGTGAATGAAGTAAATAAATATCTATTAGTCATTTCATTTTTTTTCTTTTTTCTTTTTTTTTTTGCTGTACGGGGGCCTCTCACTGTTGTGACATCTCCCATTGCGGAGCACAGGCTCTGGATGTGCAGGCTCAGTGGCCATGGCTCACGGGCCCAGCCCCTCCACGGCATGTGGGATCTTCCTGGATCGGGGCAGGAACCCGTGTCCCCTGCATTGGCAGGCGGACTCTCAACCACTGCGCCACCAGGGAAGCCCTAGTCATTTCTTTTAAATTTAAGCATAGTTGATTTACAATGTGTTAGTTTCAGGTATACAACAAAGTGATTCAGTTATACGCATATACATATATGTTTTTTCAGATTCTTTTCGAGTTTATTACAAAATATCGAGTATAGTTCCCTGGGCTATACAGCAGGACCTTGTTGTTTGTCTGTTTTATACATAGTTGTGTGTTTATGTTAACCCCAAACTCCTAATTTATCCCTCCCCCACTTTCCCCTTTGGTAACCATAAGTTTGTCTGTGGGTCTGTTTCTGTTTTGTATATAAGTTCATTTGGATCATTTTATTTTTTATGTAGAGAAAAAAATGTAAAGCATTGTGTCCACAATTCTCACTGGAATTTTAATTGATTTTATGTTGCATTTATAAATTAGTTTGAAAAGAACTGACATGTGAATGCTGTGTCTTCTTTTCTGCAAACGTTGTATATTTTTCATTCACTGAAATAAATCTAATTCCTTTTAAAAAGTATTTTAATCTATCTAGGATACAATGCTTATCCCAGTAATTCATGAAACATCTCCTTTCCCTCCTGTGGTAATGCCTCTGATTCCAGTTTTCTTTTTGCTTTCCCTAAAACCATCGAAACAATGTTAAATGGCAGTGTATCTTATTACTCACTTAATGATAGTATTTCTTTTTATTTTTCATTTTTTTCTTTTGGTTTCATTGAGATATAATTGACATAACAGTATAAATTTATAAACTATATATGTTTAAGGAGTGCAGCATAATGATCTGACTTACATACATCATGGAATGATTATCACAAGTTTAGTGAACATTCATCATTTTATTTAGGTATAAAATAAAAGAAAAAAACATATTTTCCTTGTGATGAGAACTCTTAGGATGTATTCTCTAAACAACTTTCATATGTAACACACTGCAGGGTTAATTGTATTAATCATCTTGTACATTACATGCCTAGTACTTATTTATTTACCTTATAACTGGAAGTTGTACCTTTTGACAGCCTTCACTCAGTTCCCCTTCCCCCATGCCCTCCTCTGCTAACCACAGATCTCATCTCTTTTTCTATGAGTTTGTTTCTTTGTCTGAAGTATAACTGATCCGCAACACTGTGTTAGGTCCTGGTGCACAATATAGTGATTTGACATTTCCATACATTACAACAGTATCACCACGATAAGTCTAGTTACCATCTGTCACCACACAAAGTTATTACATTATTCTTGACTATATTCCCCACACATACATTTCATCCCTGTGACATATTTATGTCATAAATAAAAATTTCTGATTATTGATCTTTCTGCAGTATACTTTGTTTTGTCATGGATTTAAATATTTTCTTATTTGCTAAATTTTATATAGCATTTCATCATGAAAAGTAGTTTGTTGTTGAAAAATCTCATTTTAAATCCTTACTATTAAATTACTCCTGTTTTTAATTTTTGTTGTTATTTTGACAATTTAAGTTTTATAATAAACCTATTTACTTAATTTAAAATTTTTAACTACTTACATGGAGTTATAACTATTATTATCTTAATAGTTATATTTTTTTCTCCTCTCTGTGCCTGTATAACTTGTGATTTTTTTCCTATAAAATTGTCTTTGTACTTCCCAGACTTTGACTATTTTACTTTACAAAGAATGAAAGATTGAATTTATTTAGCAATTCAAATTTTTTTTCAGTTTTTCAGCAATTCAAATTTTTTTCAGACAAATTTATTAAATTTTGTCATTTTTATTAACCTCTCTACCGTGCTTTTCTCAATCTAGTTTTGTGGTTTTATTTTTAACTTCTTGATTTGAATGATTTTTAAAATCTTTTTTTCTTTAAATAAAGTATCAAATCATTGTCTATAAATATTTCTTTGTACAGCTTTACTTTGACCCTAAACATTTAATGTGTGATATTATTGCTGTCATTATTCTG